AATTTTTTATTAACTTTGTCACAGGACTGAAATCAGTATTTGCTGGTCTGTGATTGGCATTTTGGAAAACAGGAAAAACAGTGAAGCCTGGGTTGGCTCATTCAAGGTCAAGAAATAGAATCATATTCCTAATTTCTCTAAAATGATCTAAGTTCATAATCCTAATTGTTTGTTGTCCTACTCAAATTCAAACTCTGAATTTTTAAGAATATATCTTTTGATGTCCTTAGAATACCTTAGGATGAAAAAATTTAAGTTCCACAGCCGCAAAATATATAATCAACTATTAGGTGTTGTTGTTTTTTTTATCTTAACGTTTGTGTCAGCATAAATGTATTTAATTCAGTAAAAAATTATTGGAACTTTATAAAGCCCTTTAAGGCTTCTACCAAACATCTGAGTAAAGCAAAAAAGCTTTGTACTCAATGGGCTGACAAAAAATATACAAATAACTATACTACATGATCACTGTATCTCTCCTGCCGGGTAAGTATACAGTATAGTTACACATATAACTATACTACAAAAGATGGTATAAGTGCCATAAAGAAAAGTTTAAGAAAATAACAAGGACCTTCAAAGGAGGGAGGTGTGACTGCTTCATGACCTGCATCGTTAGGAATTTATGATCAGATCCCTCTGAGAGGTTTCTGTTTTGAGTCAGAAACAGTAGTGTGAACTAAGCCATGGGGAAATGGAGCAAGGAACATGTTTAGGAAACCATGAAAGACACAGCTTGGCTAGAGCCCAGGCACAGAGAGGAAATATGACTCCAAAGACAGACAGAAGCCACACTGCCAGCAAAGGGCTCTGAAGTCAGGCTGAGGATATGTAGTAAAGCCTCTGTATGTACCCGCACTTCAAACAACACTGTGCTTCTTGGGTATATAAAAGTAATGAAATAACCTATGTTGCGAGTGTAGGAATAGAATAATTCTGCAATAATCTAGAAAAGGGAGTAAGGAGGGTGCAGGTGGCTCCAGGTGACAGTGGGAATGGAGAGGTGATGTTGTGCTTAGAACCTACTGGATTTGGTAACAGACTTGGTATTCAGAGCAAGAAAGAAGGGAGAGGGGAGTTAAAAAAACAGGCCATAGTTTTGAATCTGGATGACCAGAAGAATCCTAATAAAAGTGTCCTAATAAAATTAGTGAAGTCCAAGGGGAGAACTGAGCATTTTGTATTGTTTAGTTCAGGGAAAATAAGGTACAAATAAGTTCCTGATCTGGACATATTACATTTGAGAAAACAGGTGCAAAATTTGGCACACAAATTAGACATGGCACTAAACTATTGAAGAGGACTCCATAATAAGGATGAGATTTCAATTTTCTCCACCGACAAGGAGATATATCAAGGAGTGTGAGTAAACAAGACAGAAACTGAAGACGAAGATAGAATCTTGGAGAATGACTAGGTTTAAAGAATGGGAAAAAGAAGAGAACCTAATAAAAGTGACACTGGTCTGAAGTAAGACAAGAAGCAAGAGCTAGAATGTTTGTTAAAAATTTCAAAAAGGGATAGCCATCATGCATTGGGGGGGGGGGGGGGGGAGATGGGGAGGCTCTCCAGCCAGTAGCTGGGCAATCACAGTCCGATTTCTTAACACAATGAAATCACTGGCCTCCTTTACATGAGTGCCTTCTTCACAAAACAAAGTACCTGAGCTAGCCAGGGAAGAGGGGCCTCATAAAGTCAGAAAATGGAAGAGGTGACCTCATGACACTCAGCAATATGGACAAAAAGGAGTCACTGTAATAAATCTATCTGAAGAAGCCTCTCAGAGGGATCTGATCATAAATTCCTAACGAAGCAGGTCATGAAGCAGTCATACCTCAGGCCTCAAACTTCCATAATAAAAGATTATATTTGCTTTAAGAAATCCCTGTCCATTGTTTTGTGCACCTGAGTTTACACACTTAAAAAAAAAAAGGGGGGGGGGAGGGGTAGCCATCTTTAGAGTAGCAAACACTGAAAGGGACCCAGGAAATATAAGTACCAAGAAAAATAAAAGCCCACTGAGATGTGACATTGAATTCTATGATTTTTAAGAAATCAGATGACAAAGGTTTGGAAGATGGCAACAAAGAGGAGTCACTGGTTTTAACCGTCTTTTAAAAGATAGAAATCCACTCACTCTCTTATCTCCAAGAACTATACTCAAAGTCTAATGCAAATCCTGTAGGAGACTGGTAAATCCATTGGAGGGAAAAGAGAGCGGGGACGGACACACACACACATACACACACACACACACACACACACACACACACCCTTATTTCTAGCATCTGAAGACTCCCATGGTGTAAATACTACCACCATAGCTGATTTGGAGCTGCCACTGCATGTCAAAATTCCTGAGAACTTAGCAATGGCTGCCAGGATGAGCCAAATACAGCATCACTGCAGACCACCTATTTCATAGTCTACTCTGCAATGAGCAATTCTGTGACAGCTTTCCCCAGAATTCAATGGATACTTACTCATTCTCTGGGACAACCTTGCTCTAATTCACAGAAGTCTACTCTACTCTTGTTACATTTAGCTTTCTCAACTGTATTACAACGGAAAGGGAACAGATGTTGAAAGCCAATGGCTCCCAGGCATGCGTGTCTTTACTGGGAGTCACAAAGGAAAAAACAAGAATCATATGCTAAAAAAAACACCTTCCTAAGACTTCTTATAATTGTTTCCTTTGTTAGTGTCATCTTTCCATCTAAACCTGAAAATTCTTAAGGATAGGAAACTTGATTCAAGACTTCTGTTTTCTACAATCTACTTGGCTGCTGGATTAGTTCTACTGTAGATTAACCAAAAAAAATAAAAAATAAAAATAAAAAAGTAAAAAAAAAAAATACACACACACTGAGTAGCCAGATTAATATGATCTCTGAACGTATAATAATCTGGCCACTCAGTGTATATCCTATGTAATAAAAGGCTAATGTGCAAATTGTCCCCTTGACCAGGAGTTGGACCAGTAGGCAGGCTGGCCAACCGCCCATATCCCCTCCCCCTGGCTAGGCTGGCCTGACCCCACCTATGCACGAATTCATGCATCCGGCCTCTGTTTTTTAAACAGAGCTTTTTGTCAACGCAAGGAATAAATAAGAAAGTGGCAGTTGAATAAGTCAGATAAGAACAAAACAGCCCAAAGTAGTTGCCATCCCAGTGAGAGGCAGTAGAGATATGGGGAAAGCACGTTAGACTGAATCCAGACACTTAGGGACCTCAAATTCAGCCCTACTACTTACTAGTCCTGGGGTGCTAGTAACCTCCCAGTTGCAGGTCTAACTGAAAAATGGGAACAGCAATACCTAACACACATGGTCAACCTTAGATTTCACATGAGCGCATTTAGGAAGCACCCAGCAGGAGCAGGTACCTGCTCTCCTGCTTGGTACAGTTCAGAAGGCCATACTAGTTTGGACACTGGCCACAGCTGGAGTGTATTGCCAAGAGTACCAAGGAGACCAACCTCTGTTGTGGCACCCTGGCTAGTCAGCTGCTAAGGATTTTTTCATAATCTGTTTCCTGTGACTTCCAGCCATCACCCAAAGCCACGCATGCCTTTCACAGTCGTATTGCATCCCAAGCCCCACAACAACAGGGAGACAAGAGAGTCACCTTAAAGCAGTCTCAAAAGCCAAAAGCACCTGACAGACTAGATGGGGACAAGCAACTCCTGTTTGTGTGACATTCAGCATCCTACCTGAACAAGGAAGCTCCAACACAAACCAACAAAAAACCCCTCATTTATCATATAATCAAAATTCAAGGGAACAACCTAATTTTTAATATTTCAGAATTACCTCCAACCCTGAACACCACAATTTCCAAATACTCCTGTCTCTTCATGGCACTCCACATTACTTTTTATTATTTAGATTGTTTCATATGCACATTTATCCAGACACCTGAAGGAGAATTGATATCAAAATGTTAAGCTTTTGGGGGGGGGGGGGGAGGAAGCACAGAAGTTTATTACTCTCCAACATAAATTACTAGCCTTGAGACTACTAATGTTCAAAGCAAATGCATTTTTCCACTTATTAACTACTACTCATCCATCTGCTGACAGGTGCATCAACTTGGTTTACAGGTGGAAAAGAGTACCTTAAACTTAGCATACGTACGAAAAAAAAGCTTCCCATTAGACATCTGTTTCCCAACTTTCATACAGTTTTCTAAATGTGTGTCCTCTGAGATACACATACACGGTTTCCCAGCACATCCGAACGCTTGGAAGCAAAAGGGACATCCTCCGTTTGAAAGATTCATTCTCAACTTGCTAACCACATCGGGGTTGGCTTTCTATTATACAAAGTAGTGGTAAGTGTGACATTTTTCTGAAACCCAAAGCCATATATATACCCACTTCTCTAACCCCCGTTCCCTCACCACGGGATGCTCCCTCCCTGGTGAACCCCGGCCTGTGCCCGGGTGCTAGGGTGAGTCGGGGCTCCCCCCTTCCCCCCCCCCCCCCAGCGCCCCGAAGCAGCACCGCCCCTCCCTCCAGGCTCTGGGGACGCCCGGCCCAGGCGGCACCTCGGTCCAGGCCCCGGCGGGACAGCGCACGGCGCGCACCCCGACATGGAAGCTGCGCTCGGAAGGGGACCCCGTGGCTCGGCCGTTTCCAGTGCCTGGGGGGGGGGGGGGGGGTCAGGTGCAGGGACCGCTGGCCAGGGTCCGAGGCCGCCGCGGACGGCGAGCCCAGCTCCGGGCGTCCGCCCACCGCCGCCGCCGCGGCCCGCGGAGCCGCTCACACACCACAAGGCGGCGGCCCCTCCGCGGGGGGGTCAGGCGGCCCCTGGGCGCTGCCGGGGTCGGCCTCAGTCACCTCCCGCGCCCGGTGCGGACCGGCAACCCGCCCGGGGCAGAGCGGGCCGGGCGGCGCGAGGGAGCGGCCGGGCCAGGCCTCCGCGCCGCCCGGACGGACTCGGCCCCTGGCCCGCGTGGAAGGCGCACGCCCGAGCCCCGCCAGTCCCGGCCGCTCTCACCTTTCGCCAATGTCCTCGTCCTCCGCCGCCATGGCCGCCGCCGCCGCTGCGCAAGCGCCGAGCTCTGCCTCCCAGCCGGCGGACGGGCCGACTGGGCCGCTCGGGCCGCCGCCGCCCTTAAGGCCGCGCTCCGCGCGCATGCGTAGCCCGCCCACTCGCGCGACCCGGCGGCCCCGCGGCGCGCAGGCGCGTGCCCAGCCCGCTCCCCGCCCCGGGCCGAACACCTGCAGCGCGTGCGTCATCACGTTCTACCGGCTCCTGCGTGGGCCCCGGGCCCCGCAGTCAACCTGGAGCGTTTGGTGAGATTCGCCCGATAATTATGTAGTAACTCATCTCGGTGAGGACTGGATTGATGCATCATCCGCTGGACGGACTGACTGTTAGGCACTGGGCACCAGGCAGGCACCTGCTAGTACCACGACAGTAACTGATTAATGTTTAGTGACGAATGGAAATGTCCTCATGGAGGTGATGTGCGGTCTTCCACCAGCCCTTCCCCACAGGTGGATAGCCAAGGGGACAGGGAGACTCTCGGGACCCATGTAAATCCACCGCTATAGACGCTGGCATTACAATAGAGGTCAAGGCCAGCAACTTCCACCGCGCTCTGTGTAAATGTACAGAGTATTTAGACACATTGCTTGAGTGGGAATCACTGATGTAAATGTCAGCATGCCTTGACCTGTTTTCAAGTCTTAGAGGGAATCAGACACTGCCTAGTTAGTATTCGTCTATAGTATTTACTGCGTACCTACTATGTGCCCCCTGTGCCAGGCACTGAGAAACAAAGCACTGAAATAGAGAGCGTACCTTTGCAGAGCCTATGCTAATGTAATACCTTTTATTTTTAATGCAGTTCATTGCTCTTCTTCCCTAAGCCTCCTCCCTCACTACACTCTTTCTCTCATGGGTCCCTGTAATTCAAACTATCTCTATCCCCCTCAGATTCTCAGCCTTGTATGATTGCGATAGCTTTTTAATGAGCATTAGTGAATATCCTCCCAACTACACTGGAAGTTCCTTGAGGTTAGATTTGGTGTTTTCTGTATGATTTAGAGAAAATTAAAAAAAAAACACTCATAATTCCTTGAGCATAGTCATAGCAATAAATATTTTGTGGTGTTTGAACCAATTTATAAATATTTTAGGGAAGACTAAGACATCCAAAACACTTTTTTTTTGGGGGGGGGGGGAATTCGTGGTATTGCTAGAGATTTGTAGGGTCTCTGCAGAAAAGGACCTTCTACAATCTCCACCTCTCAGACCATATCTATATTAGGGGCATCTCCTTCTATAATATATTGGCCAGGCTGGTTATTGGGGACGCTGCTGCCTAGAGTACAATCATTTAACAAAATCCAAAGATGTGGTGGCAATTCTTGCAGCACCTTCAGAAAGTTGGACTGACATACATGCGCTCTCAAAGGACTTTGTGGACCTGGAGCCTGCTCTCATGATGCCAGTGGCTCCTGCACAGTGGGGGTGGAGGGGGTGGATGGAAAGAAAAAGAGAGCTATCAGTGTCCTAACCCTTTTAGTGACATAACCAGTTACCTGGAGTGATCAGTCTTTATGTTGGAAGGTCACCAGTGCCTACTCTGAATTCTCCAATTAGTCAGAGGTGAAACTTTGCAAGGCAAATACAGTGTCTGCCTTTCCTACTCTGCCGCAGGGCTATGGGGTCTGGAGACCTGAATGCTGCCATTACATCCCCAAGACAAGTATGCCATGAGTGGATGACTGGTGCCCCTCTGGTTTCAAGGTGGGTTTTAATTTCTAGCCCCTGATCCCCACTCCCAACAGAGATTCTCCAGGGGAAAAGTTGAACAACACCGCAGCCACCACAGGGTCTGGCTTTATCATAAATGTGCCAAGCAAACACTTGCAAGGCAGAATAAGGATAAGGGCATGAAGGGTTTTCTGAGGGCTTCAATGGCCTGCCTGCCCTATAAGTGCTTATAAAATGCTGTAATCAAACAAAGTGAGGGAGCAAGTGTGGCAGGGAGATAAGAACACGGGAAGGTAAGAGAAAATGATAGCTGGGTCTTGAGCTGTATGACCCACAACGGGTAATGGGGACCGGGCTGGGGGAGAGGAAATCTCATGACTAGAGCTTCTCAAACTCTAATCAGTATCTTGTTATTATAAATTGCAGGTTCAGACCCTGTAGGTCTGAGGTGGGGCCTGATTCTCTATTCATTGAGATGCTCCATTTCGAACCAGCTCCCAGGGATTGGGGGGTGGGGGGGTCAGCAGACCATCTTTGAAGTAGCGAGATTCTAGAGCAGCCTTACCCACTAGAACTTTCTGCAGTGCTGGAACTGTTCTAAATATAGTAGAGATGAGTTATGTAGCTATGAGGCATTTGAAATATGGCTAGTGCAGCTGAATTTTTAATTTTAATTACATTAAAGTTTAGAACACACAGAGCTAATGGCTACCAGGTTGGACAGCAAGGTGTAGATCTTATACTCCTCGTCCATGAAAATGGGAGTTTAAGACTAGATGACTCCCAACATTCTTTCTGGCATTCTATGGTTCCAAATTGTCTTCAAGGTATGTATGAAGATAGGGGTGGGAGTTTGATGGGGGGACACTTGTTAAAGTCTGGAGTAAGGCCTGAGGGGTTGAGAGCTGCCCCATGGTGGAGCATGCAGCGTGTTCCCTAGAGGCTGGATTCTAGAACTCGGTGGTGGAGCTGCCCTCCGGAGACAAGAGCCGGACTAGCCAATGAATGTCCGTGGAACTCTCACACCCACATAAAAGGCCTTCTTCAGCAAGATACAAATGTCAGGCCAGAAAGGAAGAGAGAATAATCTAACCACGTCAAAATTTAAAACAGCTTGGTTGGTGTGGTTCAGTGGTTGAATGTCAACCCATGAACCAGGAGGTCAGGGTTTGATTCCTGGTCAGGGCCCAGTTTCAGGCTCAGTAGTGGGCGTGCAGGAGACAGCTAAACAATGATTCTCATCATTGATGTTTCTATCTCTTCCTCTCTCTGAAATCAATAACTTTTTATTTTTATTTTTTAATTTGAAGCACCTCTGTGAAAAAAGACACAATATAACACAATGCAAAAATATGAAACAGACCAAGCTTTACTCTCTTTAATATATAAAGAAAATTGGATTGAAAAATAGATTTAAAAAATTCTTCCCAGGGGAGATAACTCTAAAGCCATAAACAGCCATATGATGCTGACACTGATCTGTGATCAAGGGAATGCACATTTAAACTATGATGATAAAAACGAGAAAGGTTCATGGTAATAAATATTGGCAAGATGTTAATCCATGGGGACCGTTTCCACACAGTTGATGGGACTGCCAATTGATACAGCCATTTGGAAAACAGTTTGGGAATTATATGTAAAATTCATGTGCCCTCTACTAGCCCAGCAATTTAACTTGTGGGAGTCTGGTCTTTCTCATGTGCACAGAGATGTATAAAAGGATGTTTGTTACCTTCAGTATCCTAATAGCAGGGGAGAAAAAGAAATTAATAAGAATGCCTATGAGGAAATAAACTCTAGCATGCCTATAATATGAAATACTGTGGCAACAATGAAGAAAAGTGAGGTAAATCTAATATGGAAAGCTCTCTAAAGCACATTCTATATAGAAAAATCAACATTCATGAAATATGAGCCAAAAGTTGATTCTTTGAAATTAATAAAATTGACAAACTCCTAGCTAACTGATCTAGAAAAAAAAACAAAAACACACACACAAATGAACAATATCAGGTTTGGTAAAAAGGATATCATCACAAATCCTACCCACATTAAAATGATAATTGGGCAATATTACAAACAGCTTTATGCCAATAAATTTGACAGTTCTTTGCCACTTCTCACACTGAGAGTGGGAGTGTGTTTTCCCTCCCCTGCAGTGTGAGCTGTGAGTTGTTTTGGCCACTAGAATGGGACAGAAGTGATGCTGAGTCAATTCCAGTGCTGGGATGTAAGAGATCCGTGGCTTCAGTGTTTACCAAGTCATGTGTTTCTCTTGGAAGTCAGCTGCCCTGGCAAAAATCTAACTCCTGGGAGACCACCATGCTGTGAGAAAGTCCTACTAGCCACATAGAGAGAGAAACCATGGGGAGCCCCGAAGCATCGGAGTTGTGAGGGAAGCCTTTAAAAATTTCTAGCTCCCTTTCTCCCCGCGTGGTTAAAATATCTACCCGAGTAAGCTTCCCACAGAATTGTGAGAAAGCAGAATGGTCATTGTGTTAAGCTGCTGTATTGTAACGTAGTTTGTTCTGTAGCAATAGATAGTTACACCACAATTGTTTCGTATAGTGCTAACCCTTTATCCGGCCAATGTATAATGCCGCTATTATGTAGCTGGTGTATGGAGTTCAAAGATTTATTTCAAAATAGTTTGTGTAGCTTCTAATGTTGAGGTCACTGCAGATTCAGATGCAGTTGTAAGAATAATATGAAGAGATCCCGTGTCGGCTCACATCTTTTGCCCATTTTCTAACTGTTGAGTTGTGAGACCTTTTTATATTTTCTGGGCACTAGCTCTTTGTCAGATGTGTGGTTTGCAAATATTTCCTCCAATATTGAGCTTGTCTCCTCATCTTCACATCGATTTTTGAAGAATAAAGTTTTTTAATTTAATGAAACCTAATGTTTTGATTTTTGATGACTTAAACTTTTGATGTTGTCTAAGAACTTTTTGCCTAACCTGAGACCCCAAAGATTTCCTCCTTTGTCTTTTTCTAAATGTTATGGCTTTACATGTTACATTTGACTCCGTGATCCATTTTGAGTTAATATTTGAATGAAGGGAGAGGTGTTTGTTTATTGCCCATGGATAGCTAATTGCTTGGGCACCATTTGTTGAAATAGAAATAGTCTTTAACGTATTATGATGTAGCCTCTTGTGCTCTTATAAAGAATACTAGAGCCTTGTGCATGAAATTTATGCATAGAGGGGGTTTCTCTCAGCCCAGCCTGCACCCTTTCCAATTGGGAATTCCTTGAAGGATGTCTGACTGCCAGTTTAGGCCAGATCCCACATTCTCTC